CAGTAAAGACATTTTTCCTAATATCTCATCTAAACTTCCCCTGGTGCAACTTGAGGCCATTTCCTCATGTCTTATCATTAGTAACTTGGGAGAAGAGACCAACACCCATCTCACTACAGCCTCCTTTCAGGTAGATGTAGAGAGCGATGAGAACTCCCCTCAGCCACCTCTTCTCCAGGCTGAACAACCCCAGTTCCTTCAGCTGCTCTTCATAACACATGTTCTCTAGACCCCTCCAGCTTCGTTGCTCTTCTCTGGACGCGTTCCAGCACTTCAATGTCTTTTTTATACTGTGGCAATAGCTTCACTCCTTCCCACAGGAGACCAGCCCAGAGCATCCTGGCCTGGCCTGCATGTCCACTTGATGCTGCTGTGTCCCCAGATCATCTCAGCTGAGATGAGCAGATAGAATGACCGCTCTGCCACCCAAGAGCCCTTTCAGATCCACACTCTTTATTCCAGCAGCCAGGATGGAGCCTCAGCACCCTGCCTGCAGCCTGTCTCTCTGTGGGCTGCCCCTCCTGCCTGCTGGGAGGTTGGCCATCATGGTTGGCTGTCACGGCACAGTGTGGAGGAGAGGCACGAAGGGACCGAGCTTGACGGCTGGCACGGTGCCACAGGAGCGTTTCACCGGAGAGCCCAAGTTCCCATTCCCATGCGGCGCCCGGAGTTCGGCTTGGCTTTACGACTGACCTACTTTGACTTGACACATATTTCCTGGAGGCAGGCACAGATCCAGGTTTGCCTGTGGGCCAACACTGATTACTCCAGTGCAGGGAGAGGTTTGAGAGGGAACGGAGGGACATTTTCCTGCCTTTCTACAGCATCCATTTATGCTTGGATTCACATTAAGAACCCAGGCTTTAAAAAAAACCAAACATCTGGAGGACCACTGGGCTCAAGTGGTTTTCAAAGGACCAGTGTGGTCTTTGCCAAGGGAAGATGCCTTTTGCATGGGCCAGTTTGAGCAGGGGACATAAAGGCTTCTCTGCAGTGTTGCCCCAGAAAGAAATCTCTCCTTACTCCGCAGCACACACGGATTGAGCTCTACCTGCAGCTCCTTTAAGCTCCTAGCAACGTGGTAGACTGTTCAGGCCTTCTTCTGGCCTTCAAGTCGTTGTCTTTGCTCTGTAATTTCTCCATGAAGGTTTGGCTGCAGAACCCTTGCAGGCAAACAGCAGTTGTCAACATTTGCCAGGGGAGCTGATTATATAGGAAATGCTCATCAAGGGCTCCTGTCCATAGCACTGGATCTCCGGAGATGAAGTGCTGGCCTGTGACCCTTCTTTAGGAGTTACAGTCAGGATTTTGCAGGAAGCCCAAGGGAATTTGGTGTCCCTCATTGGATTAGATCACTTGATATCAGGACTGATGTGGAAGGATGAGAAACAGGACAGCAGCACAGGTTTGGTTTCCTGTACCATGCTATTTTTGTGTGGAAACACTAGACAGGACACACAGCTCAGATAAGCTAATCAGGAGGATGCAGATAACAGATCACTACTTTCTCTTACAAATCTGTCCACACTCTGAACTCTTTTCCCCCTGCCATGATGTCGGAGCACCTCGGGAGGGGCATCAGTGCCAGGAGCTGGGTGCTGAGGACGAGGAGCTCTGCAGAGCTGTGAGCAGGCTCCCTGAATGCCTCTGGTTTTCTGATGTCCCTCAAGCTTTTCACTTGTTCTGCTGAAGAGCTGGATCAAGCTTGCCCCCACAGCATCTGTCCACGTGCCGTGTTCTCCAGTGGCTCTGCAGACCAGGTCTCCGTATCGCGCCTTCCCACGCTCATCGGTGGATCAAGCAGGGCTGAGAAGGGGCTGTGCAAGCCTCCTGCTGCCGGCATCACGCGGGGTGGTGAATGCAGCAGCTCTGCTTTTCCTGGCTCCAGGCTGAGCCTCCTCTCCCGATATCAAGAGGCAAGTCACCATGGAAACATCCACCTGGAAATGCTCTGCTTGGAGGACGCGTGACGGTGGGATTCAGTGCAATTGAGCCGTTGGGATTTGACCCAGGGATTTTTCCATCCAGGGTTTTTCCATCTGCAGCACATAACATCACCCTCCACCCCCACAACCATGCAGGTGACTGTGCCTTGGCCACCCTAGGTGTGCCCCTACCTGAGGTGAGGAGGCTCCATGTCCTCCATGGGATATCCCTGGCAGGATTCATCCCAGGCACTGAGTTGCTGAGGTTCAGGTGAGGCTGAGTGCCTTGAAAACCGGTTGTCTAGCCAGGTACTAAAAAAAGGAGAAGGTGAGGGAGATGTTAAAGTAGAGAAAAGTGACGATGTCGTTGCCTTCTAGGAGCTGTATTAAAATGTAAATTATAGTTAATGTCATCTTACGGGAAAGAAAAGCCCTTGAAATAAATTTCCTATTTTAAGGTAGCAGTGAAGTGCTGTGAGTGCACAGCAAAAGTCCTTTTTATAGGCTGTAATTAGCAGCCAGGTTGTGGCTGTTGCCACTTTTGGCACCTAAAGGGAAAAAAAGCCTTTGATAATAACGACCACAAATTAAATGTGTGGAGCTTTCCAAATCCGCTCGGCAGCTGGGCCATTGGCCCTTTCCTAGGAGATGCCACCGTTCAGCGAGATGTCTCACCCATGTAGTTTCAGGAGAGGTTTGTAACCTGCCTGCCTCTGTGCAGAATTCACGGCAGCCTGGTTTTCCTGGCAATCTGGTGAGTTCTGCACGCTTTCTGAGGCCTCCTGCATCTTGCCCCTCAGCCCAACACAGCCTCATTTGCTTGCACAAACTTCCAAATTTTGCTCTCAGCTCTCTTCATCAAAACACTCTTCATAATCATAATCATAATCATAGGATGGCCTAAGCTGGAAGGGACCTTAGAGATCATTTTAATCCAGCCTCCCTGTCACCAGGGACGCCACATCTCGACTAGATCAGGCAACACGTGGGGACACTGGGGTCACAGGGAGCTGACGTATCCCAGGGAGTGGAAATACCTGATGTGTGAGGAAAACCACAGGATGCTTAAGGCCATGTGGAAAACTTGTGGGCTTCACTGACCCAACTGAGTTTAGACCATCCCTTCAAAGGTGTGGGAGATGTTTACATCTTATTTTCAAAACCTTTCATTTCCCTAATCAAAGCGATTCATGAAGTCTCGCCGTTCCTGTCTGTGTCCGATTTCTCTCGTTGAGCACAGCAGCTGTAAAGCACAAAACCCCACTAGATTGCGACCGAAAATCCCTCGTCTGGCGAGGGGAATATGGATTTCCACTGCTGGCTTGCCTGCTGTGCAGATGCAGTGATTAAACCACTGCTTCATGCTCTAGTTTTCCAGCTGAATGGGTGTTGGAGCTCCGAAGGGGATCACAGAGTTACAGAAGGGCAGGATTGCTGGAGCTAAAGGTGCAGCTGCTGCTTTGGGTGCAGTTTCTCAGCACATTAGCAGGCTGCCCTGGGCTGCCTCTCTTTGGATTTTGAATGTCTCCAAGGCTGGAGGCTCCACAGCCTCTCTGTTCTGGTCTTTGACTACTTTTGTGGGGGAAAAATAAGTTTTTACTTAATGTTTAAATGGAATTTCTCATATCTTGGTATGTCCACTTGCATAAAGATTTACATAGCCTCAGTGGCAGCCTGCAGCAAGCACTTCCACTGCCAACCAGACCTTGATTAGCAGGGATAATCTGCCAAGAAGCTCAGTAATTACTCAGCCTGGAGCTGCCCGGTGCTGCCCTCACCTCACCCGGCTGCTGGGGAGCGTGCAGGGGAGAGGGGCAAAACCAGGGCTGGCATCTCCCTGCCCCAGCTCCCTCCTCGCGTTCTGGGCCAGCAAACCTCACAATTCTCACACCGGCACCAGATGGAAGATGCTTCACCTGGCCTCTTGGCCACGTGGGCGTCAGGGGAGCCAGCTGCCTGTCCCAGGCTCTTGTGGGACACTGTGCCTTGTCCTAGTCCAGAAAATGCTGTTTCTTGGAGGCTCGTGTCTGGCCGGCAGTAGCAGATGGCAGTTCTGCTGGTAATACTTGGAAAGCATCAACTCAGGCAGGGAGAGGCTCACAAATTCATTATCCTGGGCAAACCAGACAGAGATTTAAGCTGCAAAGAAAATAAGGTTGTTTTACCAATCCCAGCTTTGCCGTCTTCCTGGCGGCGTGTGCATTTCCCCGGAGACAGGTCTCACGTGAAAGAAGGAGGCAGCTTCTCTGGGCGTTCAGATGAGGGATTCCCCACTTGTCCATCTGCAGCCCGGCAGGCAGGGAATGCAAAGTTTTCCCCTGGCTCGGTCAGTGCAGTCAGGAGATGCTCTTACAGAAAATTTAGAGCCCTCAGGCTGGGTTTGTCTCAAACTCAGTGTCACACCTTGGTCTGCAGCCAAGACCCAACATCCACACGGCCAACGACTCCCGCAAGAGCAGAACAACACCCCAACACCTTCTTTCAAGGCAGAAGAGATCAAATGAAGGCAAGGGGCTGCTTTGTGTTGCACAGCAGGGGCTGCAGGTTCCTGCAAGGCTTTTCACCCCTGCCACATCTTCTGGATCTCACCCCAAAGGACTGACCATCCCCACTGAGAAAAGAAGTCCAGGGGCTTGCCCACACTTTCAGAAAAGGTCGATGTAGGAGTCCAGTCCTCCAGGACTGGCTGGTGCCTCAGCTCCATCCTGGCAGAGCCATCCCAGTGCACTCGAATGTTAGAAACTAGCACTGAGCGAACTCTTCCCTCTAATGCCAACATTTGAGGCCAAACCCAGTGTGTGCCCATCCTGCTGCTCCCTCGCCCCGTTCCAGCATCTCTGCAAGCTTCCGTACACACGTATTGGTCCAGAGGAGCAATATGGGAGCTCCCCCTGCTGCCTCCTCCACCCTGCACACAGAGTGCACTGGCTCCCAGCACCCTCCCCAACGCCCAGGCTTCCTTTTTATTTTAATAATGTGGGAGCCACTGTTAGAAAACCACAACAGCTCCTCTCAATGGTCACCCCAAAAGGTCAGTGTATGATATCGGAAGTGTTACGGAGAAACTAGTCAGCTTAACTTCTGCTGATGGTTTCCCTCTGCCACAGGCTGGGGAACATCAGACTGGAATTTACTAAAGGCAACAATAAGGGGCTGCTTCCTAAAAATTAGGAGCCTACTAGGAAGGTGCTTCATGAAATTTCACAGGAGATACCTTGTCCCAAGCTGCAACACCGGTAATTCTTCCTGTTAGGTGATTAAGTAGAGGTGATTAAATTATAATTAAACAACACATGATGTGATTGCTGGTTCATTCACCGCGGGAGGCTTCATTTCACGTCCCCATCCCTCAGGCCATAGGGATGCTCACAGGAGAAAGTGCTCCTCAGCCCGGGCTGGTCATTCAAGCCCCCTGTGCCTGTGGAGTGGTGGGCACACAGCGCTGGGATTCACTGACTGTGGTTTTGAGCACACAACTGTGCTTTCAGAAATGTTAATCACCGCTTATTGCAGCTCTTTCCATGACACAGCAGCTGCAGATGCTGATGTGAGGCTCATCTTTACTGTCTGCAGCATCCTGACTAGCTATGGTCTCCAGAGCTGCCTGGCTTTGTTCGGTCCCAGTGGAGACGTTTACACAGCTTTAAAGCTCTTCAAGAAAAAGTAATATTTTTTTTTCATTATCAGCCATGAGCACATTCCTTTAACATGTAAAATCTCTCTTCCCGAGCCTCCCTGCCAATCTCCTGTGACAGAAATCCCACTGACGCCGGCTGCACACCTGCACCGGCTTCTTCTGCGGACATTCAGCGTGAGGGACCAGCCAACCTTCAAATACATCTTCGTGGTATCAGAGCCTGAACACCGTCCTCCCCATTGTGTTTCAGGGAAGGTCAGCAGAGCCTGAAGGCTCCAGCCACACCACATGCTTGCTTGTCCTTCTCTGCTGGGGTACTAAAACACATTCTCCTGGGGGAACCATCCAGGAGTGCAAGAAAACATGCTTTAGTAGGCAGCCCAGGCAGAGCTTCGTGTACTGTAGGGAGCCCCGAGCAGGATTTAGGATTTGTCTCCTCTCCCTGGCACACCTCTCTGTCTGAGCTCCTCCCCAGACTCCTGCTGCAGCCTGTGAAGAAAATGAGGCAATTCTGCAGCAGGGTCTCCCATGAGCATCTCAAACAGATCGTTAGTCAGAGGTGAAGCTGGGGGAGACGATGCGTTCATTCCTCTTGGAAATGCTAAAATACCAGGCTCGCTCCTCACCCAGAGTGTGTTTGGGTGCAGCTTCCCCTGCCCGACGGAAGCTGCCGCAGCAGCGGCTGTGTGCCTGTGGAGGTAGATTTTTGCTTTGCATGGGTTTCATAAGCTGTCACTTGGAAGCTGTCGTACAGACAGAGCATGGAACTGCCCTACTGCTTGGAACAATTATGTGAGTTAATGATTTTGAGGTTGCTGTTGTTTTCCAGGTTTTCAAGGATCTGGAATTTGGTGTAGGAGTCCTGGCTGGTGCTGCTGTTTTTCATTCCCTTGAGTCTTTTCCTCCCTTCACATTGCCCTGACCCTGCACCCACGCGGCACAGAAGCCCGTTTGTTCCCTCATCTCCCAGAACTCTCTGAGCCACAGTGCTCTCCTCATCCTATTGCAGGTGGTGCGAGACCAGATTTCTCACTGCACAGTCAAGCTGCGCCAGACCACGGGCCTGATGGAGTACTGCTTGGAGGTCATCAAGGAGAACGACCCCAGCGGCTTCCTGCAGGTTGGTGGTGGGGAACTGGTCACGCCTGGGCTGCAAGGGGAGCAGGAAAGGCATTGCACAGCCAGAGGACCTGGGGTAATGCAGCAGAGTCAAGGGAGTTACACCAAGGATCGATGTCTCCAGCTTTTCCAGCCATAAAATCAAAGGCTAGCCTCTTATCACCTCCAGGTTCGCAGCAGGACAGAAGCAGAACCGGGCCAGGGACATTTCTTCACCATGCGAGCAATTAGGCATTGGAATAGTCTTCCAAGGAAAATAATGGATTCCTCAACTTTAGACAGTTTGAAGGCTCAGCTTGACAGGGTGCTGGGCCATTTCATTTAAACTGTATTTTCTACCTTAAAGGGTTGGACTAGATGATCCTTGAGGATCATCCAACCTGATATTCTATGGTTCTTAGTCTGACCAGAGGAACACAGGGTTGCAGCAGACAGTGCCGTGTCTCTGGAGCAGTGATGGCAACGTGCTGTCTCGTGGCTCTCCAGTGAGAGATGGACATAGAGCACTTGAGAACTGTGTCCCACCCTTCATTCCTGGGCTGGTCCCTTTGGTCCTAGACCCTGCCTTTAAAATAATCCCCGAAGCTCTTGTGGCCCCCCGGCCAATCTGAGCCTGCGGCAAAGGGCAATGCTAGAAACCACCTATGATGTCCCAGCTTTTGGCAGTCAGAGGCAGAAGTGGCAGCCTGGGAGGCCCAGGGAAGGAGGAGAGCAGGGAAGGAACAAGGCACAGCCCTTGGTAGCTGAGGACTGCTCCTTGCCCCCAGATCTCCGACGCTCTCATCAGGAGAGTGCACTTAACCGAAGACCAGTGGGGAAAAGGGACGCTCACACCCCGGATGACCACAGACTTCGACCTGAACCTTGACAACGCCCCTCTGCTGCAGTCTATCCATCAGCTCGACTTTGTGCAGATGAAAGGTAAGAATATTTCCAGCACATTTCAAAAGCCCATCTCTGCTCATGCCAAGTGCTCCCATGCAACCCATCACGGGAAAGGGGCAGGAGAGGAGAGTTTCTCACCTTCTCCCAGCAAGACTGAAAACAGTAGACTCAGAATTATTCTTGCCTCCGTGGATTTTGCACCCATGGGCCAGCCATCTGCCTCCTTCTCTCAGATCCCTGGCTAGCTGTGTGCCAGAACAAGGTGCCAGGAGCCTGGTTTTGCCTGGCAGTGCACCAGAAAGCACTCTGCAGATTGGGACCAGGGTCTCGGGAGTGGCACAAGGCACTTCCTAAACCTCTGCTCACACACACACACTTCCTCAGTGCTGAGCAGCAGCTGGGCTGGCGAGCTCACTGGCCGCCATGGTGTCCCTCCAAACACAAAGGCACAAAGAGCCGAGCCATGTAGCTCAGCGGTCTTTCCTCCCTCCCCTCTTCTCCCCTTTGCTTTAGACCTTCACCTCAGTTTTCATTTCCATTCCCTCTGTGCTCGCCCTGCCATACCACGGAGAGCTGCTTCATTTGCATCGCTTTGTGGGAAGTGGAGAACCTGCTGCAGCCTGTGAGCAATCTGTGACTTGGCAAGCCCAGGGAAGCTGACAGAAGATGCAAACAGGCTGTGCAGGGAAGCTCAGGAGGACATCAAACGTAGACCTGTACCTTCAGCTGGTGCAAATGAGCTGCCTGGAGGAAAGGCCACCAGCCACAGGTCTGGCATGGCTCTTCCTTGCCATCACAGCTGGATTTCCAGACTCAGTAACAGTTTTTGGGAGCCAAAACGCAGAGAGGGATGGATTTTGCTTACACACCAGTTGTGGAGACGTCAGCGTTTTCCTGCCCTCCTTTCAATTTAGCCCAGAGGGTTATTTTTAATTTGCTCTTAATAGAGCAAATCTGCTGCTAGTTTAACTGCCTGCCCTTCTTTGTGGAAGCAGAGTAGAGCTGACAGAGGCTGTTCTTTTTTCACTCTCAGTGTGGAAATAAGTTTTTGCATTTGACTTTCCAGAAGGTTGGATTTGGATCCCAAAGATGTGTAGAAGTACCAGGGGAGGCAGGGCAACACCAGAGGTCTTGAAAAAACAGCAGGGGTGAACAGCCTCATCTAGGTGATCCTGCTTTGGCCAGGGGGTTGGAGTAGGTGATCTTTCGAGGTCCCTTCCAACTCCTAACAATCTGTGATTCTGTGTGAATAAATACAGGACATCCCACATCCATTGCTGTATTAGCTCTAGTGTGAGTGCTTTCTCCACTTCCTTTCTCTAGGCCCTCAGCCTGATGGTTCCGAGGATCTGACCCAGGAGGTGGAGTAGTTGAAGAGGGAAGTGGTGAATAGTGAACCTTTGCCAGCAAGCCTGTATTTTTTTTCCCAGGCATCTGTGGCTCCTCCACACCTTGTCTGGATTCTCCATGTCTTTTTTTGCTCTTTTTTTGCTGGATCTTGTCAGGCTTTGAGCGGTGAGGATGAGGACGGAGGACGAGCAGCTCGGCTGAAAGGAGGTTTGGGGAGGTTGTCCCTGGCGAGCGGATGGAATGTGGGAGTGGACGTCCCCTTTCCAGCTTTTCAGAGCAGAAGCAGGTGCCCAAATCCAGCAGTCTGAACAGAAAAAAAAACGCTGACATCACCAAGTCTCGCAGTTTGTGTGGTTGCATCTGGTTTTAAGATGGTCTCAGCCATGGCAAAAAAGATCAGATGCTCCCTGTTCTGCAGGTTCCAAGGCTCGTCTCTGCTCCGGCACTGCTTGTTTTGTTGCAGTGAATTCATCTGATGGAAAACCAGAGCAGCCCTTGCTGCTGGGCTGTAGATAAGGCCAGGCCCTTGGCTGCAGCCAACTCTGCAGAGCGTGTGGGAGGGTGTCCCAAGTTTGGGACCGGCTGCGAAGAGCCCAGGTATATTGTTGCATTGCCATACTTCCCCAAAATACATCAGAAAACAAGAATAAAGCAGAAAGGCTCTGGGAAATCTGCGCTTCACCAGGCTGTAGAGCGAAGGAATTTGGCAGAGGTTGTTTGGAGGACCAGCCTTTCTGCTTCCTTCCACCTCACCCCTGCGAGCCCACAGTTACATCCCTTGTGCATCCCTCCATGCTCCAGCTGAGACGTGTGTGCTCTCCCCACTCCTGCCCGGCTCCTCCTCTGTGGTGCTAGCAGCCAGGGTTACACTAATTTGTGTTTAGTTTCCTCCCCAGTGCCGGCGCCCCCGATCCTGCAGCTGGAGGAGTGTTGCACCCACAACAACAGTGCCACCCTCTCCTGGAAGCAGCCCCCCTTGTCGACGGTGCAGGTGGAAGGTTATATCCTGGAGCTCGATGATGGCAATGGCGGCCAGTTCAGGGTAGGTGCCTGAAGCCCGTCCCAATGGCAACTTGTTGCTCCTGGTTCCCATGTTGCTCTGCCATGAAGCACACAAAGAGTTCCCCAGATTTTTTCCAAGTCCCCTCCTTCCCTGGAAACCTGAGACTCGCTGCTGGGGTGCCCAGGGAAGCCGATGGTGCAGACAAGCTGCAGGCTTTTTCAGAGGGCAACGTTATTTGAGTGGGTGGAAATAGCTTTCCAATGACCAATATGACTTACAAACTCAAAAGAATATATTTGAAACTTCATCTTTTTAGGTTGCTAAATATTTCATGCAAGGTATGCTAATTGTCATGAAAGACTCATGGTTTGCCAGCTGACAGCAAGCAGAGGTGTTTAAGGCCTGAGGGCTTTTAAATTGCTGTAATTACACAATTAAAATATGATTTTTCTCTGATCCGACATGCTGATAATTATCCTGGTGTGTTCACATCCACTGAGAGCACACGCAGGGACCAGCCCATTGTGTTTTTTGAATTCATCCACGAGAAACTCAGGCAGGCAGGAGACAGAGCAGAGTTGGGGCAGAAGAGAGGTGATACAGGTAGGATTTAGAGAAAGAAAGGAGCAGGAGGCTGGGTGTGAGGAGACCAAGGCCACCCCAACAAGGTGGGAAGGGGCTTAAATATGTGCAGTATTACTGCTGC